GTCTTACAAGTTTTTAAAATTGAGGCTTCAAACACAAAATTTTAGTAAGTAGAAATGGGAAGGAAGAATGATTTTAACCGCTAGGTCTTTATGCAACCGACTTGAAGGCCAGTTTAACTGTCGTTGGACGGCGTTCTACAGAGTAACGTTAGATCGGAAACGTCTACTAGATAATTTAATTGTCATTGTTGACAATAGAATCGACAAACTTTGTTTAGTAAGCATTGCAATTTTAACTGCCGAGATTTCCCCCAATGTTGAATTCTCTGTTACCGACATGGGACAAATTATATTTTGTTGTAGGCCTACTTGATGTGTTTTGTAGCATTTTATTCGCCACACCACTTAATTTCTCAAACAAAAGTTTTGATTTGAACAAACTGATAATATTATTTATTTTTTTAAAATATTAAATTGCTTTAGAATCCTCTCTACACTGCTAAGAAACAGATCTGATTCTGTAGTATGTGTATCGCAATTAATTAGAGTATAAATGATTCCCATATGTAAATTTAAAAAAAAATCTACTGTGTTTTATTTCACTGGTAATGATTTCAAGCATTTGTAATTTGTCATGGGCCAAGATAAATTAAATGAATATTTTATGCACGTGTTTTTCTCAAACACGTTAACAATATGTATTGATTTCTGTTCATCTGTATTCATCATCTTTATTTCCAATGGTGTTACATATGTATGCAAGGTACCTATGCTGAAAATGAAATGGACATGCTCAATATTTCTTACCCTCTTACAATAAATTTTCACAATGTCTAACAATAATTTGCTTTCCATTTTGGGTGGCAGTAAGAATAGGGTCCTGAATTAAAATGATAAACATTTTATTAAAATAAATTCAGGTTTTTAACTTTTCACATTAAGTTCAAGAAAAGAAAAATCTTTCTGGGTCTGTATCTTAAAACAATACTAAATAAATTGCAGTGTTTTTGTCATCTTCAGAATATAACTGAAGCTTTTCATTCAAATTTAATTTTTGACTCATTTTCTCTCAGTTAATGGTTCTAATCATATACTTTGTGATATACATTTCAGAAGTTCTTAATGTTTTTAGGAATTACATGTACAAAATTGTACATGTATATAGAAGTCACATTATGAAAGACTGTTTAATGATCAAAACATTCATTGTATTCCACCTATTTTAAAAGTAAAGGTGAAGCACAAACTTATGGGATTGAGGCAAATATTCGCATACCCTTAATCAAACAATTAAGTTACATTCTGTGTTTCAAACTGCTAGGTTGAAAGGATTTCCTTACAGAACAACCATAATGTCTTCATTAGCATTGACACACTCTAAGAGGAATCAAAATAATTCTGTTTCAATCAATATTTGAATATATAGATTTATACTTTCAGGTTAGGGGAATATGATTTGTTAAAAAAAACACTTTTTCTTTTTGAACAATGAAATAATGCCCTCCAGCGTAGCAACAGTCAATTTGATGGATGATATTAAAAAAAATACATGTGCAGAGTTTATGTGTGCATCGATCGGTGTTACATTTCTTCGTATCAAACATTTAGTATAATATAATAAAACAGCTTGTATTTCAGGTTAACATTGAATATATTCTTCCCTCAAAAGCCATGGTCAAACTCAGCAACATCTCGGTTAACCATGGCTTTTCTTGGAGTGAAAATTTTCAATGTTACCCTCAAGTACATCTTGTATGTAATAGCAATATCATAGAGGTTAAATATGAAATAAGCAATGGAAAGATCCAATATGTGCAGATCGAAGAAATAAAGACAAGGTATGGGTATACAGAAAACTTTATTGATACTGTGCATTTCATATATAGTAAAAAATATATTTGTTTTCGTGAAAGTCTTTTTTTTCCTTCTATCAAATTTCCCTAGGCAGGGGCATACATGTTTAAGGCTGGGTGTAGGAGCATTTGTTTTCTTATTGTAATGTAGCGTCATGTCACTTTATAAATCATTTGCTTTAATAAGTATGAGATATATCAGAATTAAAAGTGACGGTGGTACACATTTTAAATTGTTATTCGTCACATTCTTGAACTTGTCTTTACTGACAGGTATTCAGCATGTTGTAGATAACATAATATTACATATATAAATATTTATGTATTATATCAGAATTCCTGAGCTAAATGCTTCTCCTGTTGTCACTAACAGACTCACTTATCGTTTAAACATAACATGCACATTATGTCAACACAGGCATATGATTAATCGCTGATACATCAACTATTGCTGCTACACCCATGAATCAAAAAATGTGTCTTTAACTTAGCCTCATAAGTATTACCTCTTTTTTCAATGATCTGTTGTCAAAAAATCTGCAAAATTTTAAATAATGTTTTGTCTGAAGTATAAATAATACACAAGCAATCCTGATTTTTTTTTCATCAGCTGTTTTCTAACTAGCAAGAGGGTCTTGTTTTTCTCAAGCTGATAGACGATTACTTAGTCTGTTCTGTAGACTTAAGATTCTTTCTGTTAATAATATAGTTCTTAATCTTGACTGCGTATCTGATTTTGGTAAAATCCTTAAAAAAGAAAAAAAAGTGAGTTTAGATCTATAGGTATGGAACACAAATAAATGTAACAAAATCTACAATGAAGCGCATTGAAGGGATAAAATTTCCTGTTTGGATGAAACGTTCTGAGTCATGTTTTGAACGTAAATTATAATATAATGACACTCCCATATTTTCAAACACGAATACGAAATAATTTATTCAACGTAATGTTTTAGGACACCCCACTCTTCGCGACAAACAACATGAGTTACACTGAAATGAAGCTTTAAAAAAATTAGAAGAAAGAAATGGAGACTCACCGCTTCTGTAAAACTCAAATGCAACGAATATGAACATATTTTTGAGCTTATCACATCTATTGAAGTTACCACAATACACGTTTTGGTCAAACACGCGTTTATTCGGTGTTTATTTAGACCGTCAATTTGATTGGCTATTATATTTATGGAAATCCTGTTCTACATGAATTCCAATAAGCAAATTGACCGTTTAATCAATTTCTAAAGAAATGGGCGTGTCATAAGATGACAATAAACGTTCTAAAGATAGCTCAAAACAATCCATTTGTACGGAAAAATTTTACCACTTCAATGCGCTTCATTGTAAAAAGAGTGTTTCCTAATTGAATTAAAAAAATCAGAAATATTGATTTACTTCAAATATTACTTCAAGAACTGATTTTCTTGTGTCTTCAACAACATAATAACATTGATGCCAAGAATAATTAAGTGGCTCAAAAGATATCGATGCTTTGAGGAAACATTTTACTCTTGAAAGTTTTCATAATAAGCACTATACATTGATATCTTCTTGAATAATGTACTAGATTAATATTTAGAACATATTTTTTTTTTCCTTAACAAATACTTTTTCTTAATCAGTAAACTTACAACACACCTTGATACTAAGTAGTCTGCCTTTCTTGATGACTGTTGCCTATCTTGCTGTATACAGTCAGCATATCATGACCTACAAGTGCTACAATCAAGATTCAAAAATCTATACACAAAATTGATTAGTATGGATACAATCACAAAAAAATTGAAAATAAATATTTTAAAGATTATTCAGAATATCAATATGTTTTTGCAGCATTCTATTTTTCGAGAATCTGAATTTAGTCCATCGAATCCACTTTAGGACTATGTATAGTCTCAGTACTGATTTAGTTCAAAGTTTGTAAATCACGATATAGTACGTGATATTACATAATCCAAACATTTGTCGCTTTAGTTTCACCTTATTTTATCACTAACTTTGAAAAAAAATATACCTGAAAGACTCAATTTTTAAAAGGACAGTTGTTTTCGGTCTTGCACATGACCTGACTTGATTAGCTGTTGATGCATTATAAACACTTACTTTTCCGTGTTTTAGACTAAAGAAATGAATACGTCTCACCTTGTCTATTCTTCCCGGGTACCTCGTATCATTATTACATCTAACCTATTCATGGAACTTCACAATTTTCTGCTATACAACGGATAAGTAACGTTTAACGATGTTATCTCGCAGCCTCCGTCTTTTGTCGGAGTTAATGGCGGTCAATTTTTCCGCGATTCTGATTGGCTGTGTGGAGATGGCAACTGCGTCACCCGTGACGATGTGGAAGCGTTAAAATGTGCTTATATCACGTGACAGCCCTGTTAAAATGGACTTTGAAGAATTACGCACTATGATTTTTTTTTTCAAGTGCGTCAAATTTGGGACCAAATTAACGCACTTTTAAATAATAAAATATCTTTTTCAAAGTGCGTTAATATCAACCATATTAACGCAATTTGAAAAAAAAAATTGTATTGCTTGGTCAATATTCTTGCACATCTTAGGTATGATAAGTTATTGAACCTGTTGGATAAATTTTCGGTGATAAGATCACTTCAGGGTGCGAAAGTGAGCGATTTTGATTTTTCCATACTTTGAAAATTCTTTCTCTCTTAAATATTTTACGGTACTTATCTTTTTCCAGTTTGCATGTATCTTTTATTGAAAGTTTTCAACTTCATACTAGTTTTGCAAATACATATATCCCGGTGTAAAATAGGGTGAAGGGTGAGTGCAAGGCACACAAATGTTTTTAAAGATATACATGATATAATCACTGAAATTGTTGGATGTCCACTTTCAATTTTCTACCGACGGTTACGTATGAGAAAAAAGAAATGGGCTGAAAAACCTTAATTCTACTCGTTTTCATGTTCTCAATGGGGTTAAAACAAAACATGTATATTAAAAAAAGTTTTCGAAAGATATAATTAATGAGTATTACAGATTGATTCTTTCAATTATTAAGTTAACATCTAAGTCTAGATTTTTTGTTTTATACATTTTTTTCAAAGTGCGTTAAATGTCCCCATGGTAAAAAATTTTGATATACACTCTTAACGCACTTTAAAAACATTTTCAAAGTGCGTAATTTTTCTAAAGTGCGTTGCCACACAGACCATGACGTGACAAGTCTAAATATAAAATCTGATCGTCGTCAACATGAAGTTATTAACCGTAATTACAATCATTCGATATAAATAATGTACTTATTAAAGTAATCGTCATCCAGTTTATGTATACATTTTTTAATTACAAATTATTGTCGATATTTCCATTGTGCACCTGAACTGCACTGTGTATACTTGAAGTTTTAAAACAATAACATATAAGTATTTTACATGAATGCTTACTGGGTGTAAATTATTACCTGTGAGTTAAGTGAATGTACGGCTCGTTTTCACTTTCATATTTTTCAAACTGAACACAGGTGAGTTCTTTGAAAATCTTGAAAGCCCATAAAATTTTATCCTTCATTTCCTGGCTGACTGCAAATAAAAGAATGACTTTTTGTAAAAAAAAAAAAAAAAAAAAAAAAAAAAAAAACAGATGGACAAACCATTTTATTTTCTTGCCTGTTATAAATTAAAGAAAAGAAAATATAAATCGAGCTTTCGTTTAATATAAACTTAAATTTTGTGTGTGTAACTATGATTCAGAAGGCAGTTTTTACTTTAACATTTTGCAAATTAAGATATAACTAAAGTAATATGTCAATGATAGTTCAAAGAAACATCACGTGGACTCATGCATTTTTTTTTAATCTCAAACACCATCACTCCTTCTCTCTTTGATGTACAAAAAATAAACAGTCAACGGGTCAAAAGGTTTACTTGTTTTTCTTCATTCGAAACTGTAAAAATGGCTGAAATTGCATATAAGATATTCTAGGGATATTACTAAATTGATTAAATGTTACTCACATGATTCGTCAAGTTTGTATGGAACTTTACGATTTTCCCATAAAGTTGCGCCTTTGGCATAGTTCCTTTTTTTCTAAAAAAGAAAAATAGATATTATTGTTATACGTGCATTTTGCATTATAAAATGATTTTAAATAAACTCTTACGATTTAAAAAAAAATGGCTGCTAGGCTGTGTTTTGGAAAGTAGTGTATATAATATGTGATATAATGTAACATATTGAGTAAAATTAATGTATGTGATCCATAATAGCCTCAAATTCAATGAATTTGAATGCATAACAGATATAAATATAGCTTGAATACACAGTATCTGTTAACATAATCTTCATGTTTTAGTCTCTATATGTAAGAGCGGAGTGAGTCTTAATTTTATGACCTTGACCCGTCCTTGAAGAGTTATCCCCTTTTGCATTTATTCAATAAATTTAATTTAAAAAAAGATTTTATCTGATGAAAAACTATTTTTAATCGTTATTCTATTGTTCATAATAATAAGCATCTTTCCATAAACTTTTTTGGTATTCATAGTACTTAATGGGGCCGACTGGGGTTTCATTGTGTGAAAACTACAATGGTGAAACTCATGTTTTTATACCATATTTAACTTACATTCAATTCAGTATACATGCAAAGTTTGGGGGAATCTACCTTCCAGGTATTTTAATGAGCAGTCTCATATTACAGGTACATTTACTATATTATTTGTTTCGTAAAATGCCAATTTTTAGCATTTAAAAGCAAATTATACAAAATCCACAATAGCTTTTTTGTTCAAACAATAATTATGATGATTATAACTATATTGTACATTATATGTAAGAAAAACAAAATTCTACCTCTTGTTACCAGAGGGGGGCATCTCAAAATGCCAAATGAACGAGTTCTCCGGTTAAATAGAGTACTACAAAATATGTCGGGCACACAAGATTCATATATAGACATAATAAAAAATAATGGGTATACAATGTATTCTCAAATTCCTCTGTTTTAAAATTCGGAAGCATATGTTTATTGCTTTTTTCATTTATAACATTTTTATTACCCATTTCATTGAGAGCTTCAGTTATCATAACGTCAAAAATACGCTGTAGCGATGTCAACCAACCTATCAATTGCAAAATTGGTTAAAAAAAATAAATTATGTGAAATTATTATTACATTTTTAAATCTGAACCTTCTAAATTTTATTTAATTTTATCGATTAAACGAAAAAAGTTGCATTTAAACGGTAAATACACTTCATTTTCCTTTGATTCGCGAAATATTGCGCAATAAAAACTACAGACGTCTTCAATGCATTCTTACTTAATTAATTACTGCTCGGGTAATCATATTTTTGAAAATTTCTCGTTAATCTTTTTCTTCTACATAATGCTTTGAATAAGTTTCAGAATATTTAATATAGGATGTATATTTAAGGTCAGAAAAATAAGACATTTTATGGATCGGATACCTTAAGCACAATCGGTAAGGAGGTCTGGGCACAGGTGCCAGGTTTCTATTTTTTCGTTTATTTAATAGTTTTTTTTATCTACAACGAAAAATATTATTGTTACAATAAATATTATTGATACACGAATACATTTCGCACTATGAAATAAATTTAAATTTCAAATAATACGATTTCAAAAAAAAAAATAATAATAAATGCGAGGCTGTGTTATTTAAGAAAGTGTATGAAATATTTGATACAATGTAACATACGAGGAACGTTAAAAAATTACACGGATTTCTTGCACAAAGAAATATTCGATGACATTGTCGAGCAAAATTTCACACATAATATAAAAGAATCATTACTTATATGGTCTTCATAATTTCAAGTTAAAGTTTTGCTGTTTGTCTTTTTACAGACTAGTTTAAAATATTTAACATACGCTTTCACCATTATTCAACGAGTTTCTTAATTGTAAACATGTACGTAGTGCAATAAAAACTGTACACCAATATGTATCCAATGTATTTAATTTCAAAATCAATATATTAGCTGCACATTTTATCTAAATGCAGGATATCAAACGCTCGTATTTGTCCTTGCTTTACATAACGGTAGTACATGTACTTCATAGTTGAAGCCAATTTCTACGTGTCCGTCATTGACCTTTGACAGGTAAACAATTAAAGCGTGTCTTTCATAAAAACAAAGAGAGAGCGAGAGCCCGAAAGCTTGGGGTAAATTTTGATTATGAAATTTTGTGCAAATAATCAATGAATGTATGAAATTAATATCAGACAAAGAAAACACGGTTTAGTTACTCTCATAACTGACCCCCGATTTACATGTATTTACAATTTTGTAATAGCTATTTAATTATTATTCTTTCTGAATGGTTGTATCACGTTAGATCTAAATTTGAATCTTCAAAACTGGACAATTGTTTTCTCCATTTACAACAGTATGAGGTAAGCAATCACTAATAAACATGTTTGATTTTTTTCTCCAATCTGCTTTTTTGTCATTTTTGCGGAGAACTTAGGACTATACTATTAGGACAGTTTCACTTGAAGACTGTGTATAATTATGTTTGACTGATTTGGCATATGATACAGCATGTTTGATGTTACACTGCAAAATACAAGTTCTGTTTCACATAACCTTGATAACACTGTTTACCCTTTTTTCGCTATCAAAATACTGTATTTTGGAGACATCTTTGCCGAAGATACATCGACGTACAAATAATTTCTTTCGAACAGTTATAATACCATACCATTAATTTTACTTATGAAAATATTGATCTGCAATTAAATGAAATAGGTAAATATAAGTTTATTTCCTTTAATTTTACTGATGAAAATATTGATCTGCAATTAAAGGAAATAAGTAAAAATAAGTTTATTGCCTTAAATTCAAAATTCTTGTGATGAAACGCATTTTTAACGAATAACCGACTTAAGAAATTTTAGTCGATGGTCGGTTAATCGAACGATAATCGAGTACTCGAATATTTGTTGGCATCCCTACTATTAATTAAAAAGTTTTTACGCATCAAATTAGGGATAAAAAGGGTCGAGAACAATTTGCATTATAACTGTTAAACGATCAATATTTTGTGATACATTATTGAAACAAAAATGTTCCTCTTAATGTTTTTCAATATATATTATACTGTTGACGTCATATATTGCGCATTTAAGGGTAACAAGGGGCTAGTATTTTTTTTTCCTACAGCGTTATATGAACTGGAGCACAATAACCCTTGTGTGTGTCGTCAATACCTCCGAACGCTACAGAAAGCTATTTTAAAAAGTCAAAATTTTCAAATTTTTTGTTTTACAACACTTTTCTTTGATATAACTATTGTTAATAGTGTCCCTTCTGCAGATGCCTCGTATATGATTTATTTTTAAATTTATCAATCCATACTCTGGATATATGCGTTTCTAAATCTGAAGCGGGACCAAAATGGCGGCTGTCTCCAATGTGCAGATCGGCGTTCATGAGGTCGACTGAGCGTTTCGTTGATCGAAACTTATGTAGCATAAGGATCAAAGAAATATGAAAGAATTGTTGGCTTGTCATGTCGCATTTACGTTGAAATTCTGATTCGAATCTGAGGTTTCCTCGAACGTCTACTACAAATGCTTTTGTCTGCATTTCTAAGTAGAATAACACATGACTACAAATGGAACAAGACGCCCATGGGCCACATCGCTCACCTGAGAATATTTTGTCATATTGTTCTTTACCAAATTTCCCCTTGTAATACATATTGTGGCCCCGCCCTACCCCCTGGGGTCAAGATTTGAATAATTTAGAATCTACACTACCCCAGGGTGCTTCCACATTAGTTTCAGCTTTTCTGGCCCAGTGGATATTGAGAAGAAGATTTTCAAAGATTTTTCCTATATATTTCTATGTAAAAAATTGATGCCCCATTGTGGCCCTGCCCTGCCCCCGGGGGTCATGATTTGAACAATTTAAAATCTTCACTACCCCAGGGTGCTTCTGTAGTAGATGTATGTTTTATTAATAATTAAATGAATGATAAATAAATAAAATAAATTTAAGATAGTTAAATAAATTAAAATCTAAACTCTTTCTATTACTAATAAGGTATTAAGTGTTACCACCCATCCGTCTTGATCCACCTATACATTTCATACACCCATTCATTCATTGGTTGAACATCTACATTTCATTGGTCAAGGGTTTTACATTGTCTAGTGAGTGATATTTACTCAGTTTGAAAGATCTCAGAGTTTTAGATATGTACTGATGTAGAAAGCTAGATCTGGTTAAATATTTGAAATCTTACCTACTGATAGAGACAGTACAAACATGTAAGTACTAATATTTTAACATTTTAATCTATATTAGAATATGAATTATGATACACATAAGAAACTAAGAATTTGATACTTTATAAAAACTAGGTGTATGGAATATTTTATGTCTACATCAGATGTTGATAAATCTGATAATTTTTATCTGAGTTAATATATTCAGATCCTATTAAATGTATATAAGTAAATATTTTCATAAGAAATATTTTGGTGTAAATACAGAGTTATTGTAAAGAGCATATCTTTAGGAATTTATTTATTATTACTATAGTGTAACACTATATCTGAAACATGTGAAAAGACCCACACAAGTTTGTCAGATGGACTTGGTTCCACAAACCGGTATGCATTACTGTTTTATTATTTTGGTTATATATGAAAGATAACTCTTCACGATTTTGGAAAGTATGTTTACCTTGTAAGAGTTATTGCCCTTTATTCATGTAAAGTGTAACAACATTCCTTAGAGTGAAATATTTATATATGACACTATTTGAATAATGACTTCTATGTATATCTACTATTATATTTTATTGTACCATTCTAATGTTATTGTATATTTTATATTAATTTCAGAGCCACATAATTATTGATATAAAAGAAATTATAAAACCAGAAAGTTCTTCAAATTATTATTGTCGGGATTCCCGTTACAAAAATACGTAAATGAACCTCAACCCATTTAGAGGGCTCCTCCGCGTCACAACGACGATTCATATCCCAAGTGGTACAACGATTCTGGAAGTATCCGATTATTTTGTTTAGTGCATGCCATACCTGTGAA